ACTCTTTACAGAGAGAAAAAAAAGGAGATATCTTACCAGTCCCGCTACAAGTCCCTGACTTCCATCAGGCACCAGAATTCACCCATCACAGCGGGCACTGTCCTACAGACCTTCAAGGACTCAGTCCCCATGCTGAGGGGCTACTGCCTCAGACCCGTACAGCACCCCGCTGGAAGCAACTTATTCAGATTTTAAAACTGCACAGGGTTCCATCTGCATGGGATCCAGCACCATAAGGCTGCATTACAGGAAAAACCTTGAGGATTCTTCTCCTTATCCAGCGAGGATTGAGCACCATCCATTTTAGGTCATAGCCTTCCGAAAGGATCCTATTAAAGTCCCTGATTCTCTAATGGACCATACATCTTACAGACACTGGCAAAAAAACTGAGGTAATTCCTGTATAGGAGGGGTTATATAGGGGAGGACCTCCTCTCTGATGGGTCAGCCATTGTCCATTCACCTATAGGTGGCCTATAACCAAATAGTCATGAATAGCCTGCTCTGGTGTCCCGTGATGTACAATAAAGAAAATAAGCAGCCACCACTAAAGATTGTGATACTAAACACAAAAAGATTTGAAAAAAAGTGCAGAGCTGTAAAGTAAGCAAATCACAATACAAAAAATAGCGAATAAATATCAACAAATCAAACCACAACATTTCTGTGCTCAAAAACCGACATAAATAGTGAAAACAATAGCTGAATGGTGAAAGTAATATTAATCCAAAGTGCCTATCCACTTCACAAATCCTATTTGGATGTTATTTTCACAATTCAGCTATTTTCACTATGTTGGTTTTTGAGCAGAGATATTTGTGGATTATTATTTATGATTTGCTGATATTTACAGTGCCTTGAAAAAGTATTCATACCCCTTGAAATTTTTCACATGTTGTCATCTTACAACCAAAAACGTAAATGTATTTTGTGATAGACAAACACAAAGTGGCACATAATTGTAAAGTGCAAAGAAAATGATAAATGGCTTTCAAATGTGTTTACAAATAAATATCTGAAAAGCGTGGAATGCAATGTATTCAGCTCCCCTGAGTCAATACTTTGTAGAACCACCTTTCGCTGCAATTGCAGCTGCAAGTCTTTTTTGGGGATGACTCTACCATCTTTGCAAGTCTAGAGTGAAATTTTTTGCATATTTTTTGCAAAATAGCTCAAGCTCTGTCAGATTGGATTTAGAGCGTTTGAACAGCAATTTTAAAGGCTTGCCACAGATTCTCAATTGGATTTAGGTCTGGACTTTGACTGGGCAATTCTAACACATCAATATGTTTTGATCTAAACCATTCCATTGTAGTTCTGGCTGTATGTTTAGGGTCGTTGTCCTGCTGGAAGGTGAGCCTCTGCCCCAGTCTCAAGTCTTTTGCAGATGCGAACATGTCTTCTTCTAAGATTGCCCTGTATTTGGCTCCATCCATCTTCCCATCAACTCTGACCAGCTTCCCTGTTGAAGAAAAGCACCCCCACAACATGCTGCCATCACCATGTTTCACGGTGGGGATGGTGTGTTCAGGGTGATGTGCAGTGTTGGTTTTCCACACACACACAACATTTTGCTTTTAGGCCAAAAAAAAGTCAAATTTTCTGATCTTGCCTAACCAGAGCACCTTCTTCCACGTTTGCTTTGTCCCCCACATGGCTTCTCTCAAACTGCAGATGGGACTTCTTATAGCTTTCTTTCAACAATGGCTTTCCTCTTGCCATTCTTCCATAAAGGTCAGATTTGTGGAGTGCACGACTAATAGTTGTCCTGTGGACAGATTCTCCCACCTGAGCTGTGGATCTCTGCAGCTCCTCCAGAGTTACCATGGGCCTCTTGTCTGCTTCTTTGATTAATGCTCTCCTTGCCCGGCCTGTCAGTTCCGGTGGACCAGGTCTTGCTAGGTTTGCATTTGAGCCATAACTCTTTCCATTTTTGGATGATGGATTGAACAGTGCTCCGTGAGATGTTCAAAGCTTGGGAGATTTATATATATATACAGTCATGGCCGAAATTGTTGGCACCCTTGATATTTCTCAGGAAAATCAATGTATTTCACACAAAAACGTATTGCATTAACACATGTTTTGCTATACACATGTTTTATTCCCTTTGTATGTATTGGAACAAAATAAAAAAAGGGAGGCAGAAAAGCAAATTCGACATAATGTCACACAAACCTCCAAAAATGGGCTGGACAAAAGTATTGGCACCCTTTCACAACTGCGGAATATAAGAATGTTACAAGCATTTGATGCTCCTGTAAACTCAGTCCTGGGGCAAGTAACAGGTGTGGGCAATATAGAATCACACCCGGAATTTTGAAAGCAGATAAAAAAAGGCTCCAGACGTTCACTTAACACCTTTGCATTGTGTGTCTGTCTGTGCCACACTAAGCAATGGAAATCAGAAAGAGGAGACGAGAACTGGGTCTGAGGACCTGAGAACCAAAATTGTGGCCAAAATATCAGAACTCTCAAGGTTACAAGTCCATCCAGAGAACTAGATTTGCCTTTGTCCCACAGTTTGGGGTCATTATCAAGAAGTTTGCAACCCATGGCACTGTAGCTGAACTGGGCCCTGGTCGTGGAGGATGAGGAAAAATTGATGAAAGATTGCAACGCAGTCATAGGTCCGGATGCCAGTGGATAGCAAAACAAACCCCCAAACATGTTCCAAAGACATTCAAGCTGTCCTGTAGGGCTCAGGGAGTTTTGTTCTTTGTCAGCGCGAACTATTCCGTCGTAAACATTTAAATGAAATGTGAAACGCTATGGCAAAAGCCCAGGAGGGTCTCACTGCTGACACAGAGACATAAAAAAGCAAGACTACAGTTTGCCAAAATGTACTTGAGTAAGCCAAAAGCCTTCTGGGAAAAACGTCTTTTGGGACAGATGAGACAAGATAGAGCTTTTTCGGTAAAGCATTTCAGTTTTACTGTTTACCGATAAAACGGAATGTCAGGCTACAAAGAACACAAAACACAGTACCTACGGTAAAATATGGTGGAGGTTCAATGATTTCATTTAACATGTTTGTTTTGCTGCTGCCTCTGGCACTGGGTGCCTTGACTGTGTGCAAGGCATTGAAATCTGAATTACCAAAGGATTTTGGGGCGCACTGTAGGGCCCAGTGTCAGAAAGCTGGGTTTGCGTTGCAAAATCCTGGGTCTTCCAGCAGGACAATGACCCCAAACCATACGTCAAAAAGCACTCAGAAATGGTTTGGCAAAGAAGCGCTTGATAGAGTTCGCAGCACTGAAGTGGCCAAAGCAATGAGCCCAGATCTTCCCATTGATGGACCTGTGGAGAGATTCTTATATTTTGCTGTTGGGAAAGGTCCTCAGACAGTTCTCGTCTCCTTTGTCCTTCCAATAAGTTGTGGAGAGACCTGGAGCTGTTTGCAAAGGAAGAGTGGTCCAAAATTCCTGGGGGTGAGAGGTGTCAGAAGCTTATTGATGGTTATAGGTGAGTTTTACTGATTTCAGTTGCTTGTTTTCCAAATGTGCATCCGCAAATATTAAGTTAAAGGGTGCCAATACTTTTGTCCAGCCCATTTTTGGGGGTTTTGTGTGACATTATGTCGAATTTGCTTTCTTTGCCTCTTTTTATTTTTTGTTCCAATACATACAAAGGGAATAAACATGTGTATAGCAAAACATGTGTTAATGCAATACCTTTTTTTGTGTGAAATACTTGATTTTCAGGAAAAATATCAAGGGTGCCAACAATTTCGGCCATGACTGTATATATATATATATATATATATATATATATATTATATATATATTTTTTTTTTTTTAATAACTTAACTCTGCTTTAAACTTCTCCAAAATTTTTATCCCTGACTTGTCTGATGTGTTACTTAGCCTTCCTTCTGCGGTTTGTTCACAAATGTTCTCTAACAAACCTCTGAGGGCGTCACAGAACAGCTGTATGTATACTGAGATTAAATTACACAAGGGGGACTCTGTTTACTAATTAGGTGACTTCTGAAGGCAATTGGTTCCACTAGATTTTAATTAGAGGTATCAGAGTAAAGGGGGCTGAATACAAATGCACGCCACTTTTTTTTTTTTTTAGATATTTGCAAAAAAGTTTGAAAACCATTTATCATATTCCTGCACAATTATGTGCCACTTTGTGTTGGTCTAGCACATAAAATCCCAATAAAATACATTTACATTTTTGGTTATAACATGACAAAATGTGGAAATGTAAAGGATTATGAATACTTCAAGGCACTGTATGAGTCTGGAAAGGGTTACAAAGCCATTTCTAAGACTTTGGGACTCCAGAAAACAGGAATGGCTGACCTACCAAAATTTGTGGTTGTAACATGACATTTGGAAAATTTCAAGGGGTTTATGAATAGTTTTTTCAAGGCACTGTATTTGTTATTTTTTTATATTTATTGTGACTTGCTTAAAATTTACAGTGCTGCACTTTTCTTGACTTATTAAAACATAGATCCATTTACTAATGGTGTGGTATATATGTGCCATAAATAACAAGGGCTTTTTTTTTTTTTTTTTTACGGAAAGCATCCATCATGCCACATCAGGCCACAGGATTTATACAGTTGAATATGGACAATTGTCTGGGCTATAAAAGGTAGTCAAATATGCACTTTAGGAAGTGACAGTTTGGGAATAGGGGTACTCTGCAGTGTTGTGCTGTAACGTTTATGACAAATCTGTCAATAGTATATTAAACAAAAATGTTTGTTACTTTTTTTCTCACATTTATGTATAATAAAGGGTATTTTTCTACATACAGTATAATTGTAGGTGTTCATGAGTGCAATTAATGAATTTTTCAGTCTTTTGGGGTAAGTGATCAAACAAGTAAAGGGGGGGTGCAAGTCATTGCAGAAGGCAGTCAGCCATATTTGTGTGTTTTTTGATTATAAGGATATTCAATTAAAAAGAAAAACTAAAAAACACAATATTCTATTGAAAAGCTCAAATTAATAATAAAAAAAAAAAAAAAAAAACAGTCACCGTTTCATCTTCCTCATCTTCTTTTTCATCATCTAAAAATCGTATGGCACTTATTCTATTCATTGCTCTTTCATTCCAGGTTTCATCAGACATATCATTCACCAAACTTTCAATAGCCCCGCACCGTGGTAAGTAATCTGTGGGATAGAAATTCATATTAGTCAGCATCAAGAATGCTAGCGTTACAATAAAGGATTCCACTCACCTTGAAAACCACATTAAATGCAATAATTTTACAAGTGGGATTATAAAGTAATACAGAGTCTGACCACAAAACATGAGTGACTAGGAACTATGAAAAACTTTACGTTTTTTACCCCTCTTTACTACCATGTCTTTAAACTTTTGTCAAGTGTATACTACCATCATTACATTTACAGTAGTTTCAACTGAGAGGAGTGTATGGAGGAGTCAGGAGCCAGTAAGCAAGAAGATTTTATTCTGCAAGATAGATAATGAAGGTATAGAAGTGGAAACTTCCAGTCTCCAGATTAACAACCTCAATCCCATTACATTGTAAAAAAAACAGAGGAGAAGTGGGTGCTATTTTATAGAGTGCAATTTGTAAACACTGCTCCAGAAAACAGTGCCAGTGCTCCTGTACATAGCGATGATCTCACAGTCACAATGTACTGACGCACTGACTGCTACTTTCAAGTGACCGCTTATAAACCGCTGAAAGTGTAATCAATGCAGGTGATTGCACTTTCATTGGCCGGTGCTGATGAAAGGCAGAGTACAGAGCCAATAATTGAAGCACTGTATCATGTGAATGCTGTGTCCAATCACAGTGATCTCAAGTGTAAATACTGGCTGTGATTAGAAGCTAGCTGTCCCCTTCCTGTCACACATACACACAGAGTGGAGGGGGAGACAGAAAAGTGCTAATTGCAGCCAGTGTTCGGATAGTTCTGATCTGACAGTTAAAATAACACTGCCCATTATACACAGCCAGTGGCAGATTACAGAAAGTGCCAGTGTTTCTGATCAAAGCAAGTGCCAGTGTTTCCAGTGTGCTGATAACATTCAGCACAGCTGTTTACAGTTTGCTGATCAACGCAAGTGTTAATGTTTCCAGTTTTCAGATCATAGCAATTGCCAGTGTAGTACCGCTGCTCAAGGTAGAGAGACTCCCAATATCCAAGCACAACTCCTCCTGTAGGTGCTAGCCCAGCACATGTGCTGCATAGATGAGAACAAAGAACGTCCGATCGGCTGCATTCCAAACAATCCACTTTATTGAACCAAGATAAAACCAATACAGACAGTGGAAATAGAGTAGGGGACTGGCAGGTAAACGCGTTTCACGCTAAAGACGGCGCTTATTCATTACTCAGTGGACCCATGTACAAAGTGTTGGTTTTAAGCACCAGCCATTGCCATTCTTTTCAGTTTGAAGATTACAGCCAGCACTGATATTTTTATTTTGCTGATCACAGTTGGTGTCAGAATTGCTGATTTCAGCCATTTACAGTGTGTTTTCCTTTTGCCGTGCTTCCCCAATGCCCAAAAAATGTACAGTAATGAGACTGATGTCCTGAAGGGAGACATTTCAGATTCATAGTAAAACCTGTAGAAAACAGCAGTACATTATATGGTGATTCAGGGGATGAAAAGTTCCCTGCAAAGAGTCAAGCCAAGCAGTAGCTGTGCAGTACATCCTAATGAAATGCATGAACAAAACCCTGCGGTGTTGCAACAAGCAGTAATAAACCCAAAACCAAACATGTAATATATTGCAACTTAATGGTGGCTACATTAGTTTTCTCTTTTTCCCCTCTGTTTTCCCTTGGTGCTCTGGCCAGTAACACACCTCGTGTATTAGAGTGCCCCCAGTTTTTTCCTTTTGGAGTCAAGGTTTTACATAAATAAGTATTTATTGTAAACACCCCTGTCAGTGTTCAAATGGTTTGTCTCATCCCTTTACTTGCTGTATCTGAAAAAAAGCTTGATCTTCTAAAAAGAAAAAAAAACAACAGACTTACTGGCTGGATCACCAGGAAAAAAAATAAAGGTAATAAAGTCTAAAAAGAAAGCTATTGCAGCCACCTCATCTAAGAATTGGTAATCTGCAATATAGTAAATGTTTCCTTTGGGATTTATAACGTTTTAAGGCAATACAGTCCCAAAGGTACTTTAAAATCCTATTAGATACTAAAGGTGGAAATGAAAAATGTTGCACGCATACAATTTTTTAAATTTGTTTTTGAGTGAAGAACTAGGATTTACATTTTACAATAATGTAACCTTTATGTCCAACAATTCATTGCCAGTAAACTAGATTCCAGTTATACCAATTTCAGTGGAAGCCTATTTCTGTATCAGAACTGAAATAATGTCTTAGCCTATCTCTAAACATTGCAATCACCTTAACCCTTTGGTGCTGCGCCTCCTGGCCCTTTAAGGGGTTTTGATGCCAGGAGGCGGGGTGGGGTTTATGATCATGTTACTGCTATGATTGTCTGTCACAGCGGTCACATGATCGAAAGGTTCTCCAATAGGCGCTGGTAACTGCTCCGGGAGCTATTGGCACGTTTGGTTACATCTCATACGCATATATGCGGCCCTCTGTGTCAAGGCCCACCTGCCTAGAGGCAGCATACTTGCGTACTGCCTGCACCAAGGAGTTTAAAAAAAAAAAAAAATTGAACTGCAATCATATTGGTTTGCACACTCAATCCACCATATACCCACATATTTTACAGATATTCTTAAGAAGGGGGTGGAGACACGCTATAAGCAGACAAGTGCCAAATGCGATTCCTATGGCTGGGGAGCAGCTGGCAAACCCCATAGCTCACAGCTAGTACTCTTTTCATCCGCAGTTACCACTGCTTAATCAGATTTATCCAGTCTACTGTAACTTGTGAGTACAATTTTTTTTTAATAAATACTTAAATATCTTTATATTACACTGTGAAGCATTGTCTTTCCTGGGGTTACAATCTATCCACCCAAGGCTCTGGAGTGATCTTATGTACAGACAAGTGGAGGATTACCACTCAGGGTGCTGATTAGGCTGTGTTTCACCTCAGATCATGGATTATCCATGCTATGTTTGCCTTCCTTTCATTAGACAAGCGTTCATGTTTGGCAAGTGTCTGTGTGGTGAATGGAACACTTTGGATGACTGTGAAATCTGATTACAGCCAGTTCCGGAGTTTTCAGTGTGGCTGATCACGTCCAGTTCCAGTGTGGCTGATCACGTCCAGTTCCAGTGTGGCTGATCACGTCCAGTTCCAGTGTGGCTGATCACGTCCAGTTCCAGTGTGGCTGATCACGTCCAGTTCCAGTGTGGCTGATCACGTCCAGTTCCAGTGTGGCTGATCACGTCCAGTTCCAGTGTGGCTGATCACGTCCAGTTCCAGTGTGGCTGATCACGTCCAGTTCCAGTGTGGCTGATCACGTCCAGTTCCAGTGTGGCTGATCACGTCCAGTTCCAGTGTGGCTGATCACGTCCAGTTCCAGTGTGGCTGATCACGTCCAGTTCCAGTGTGGCTGATCACGTCCAGTTCCAGTGTGGCTGATCACGTCCAGTTCCAGTGTGGCTGATCACGTCCAGTTCCAGTGTGGCTGATCACGTCCAGTTCCAGTGTGGCTGATCACGTCCAGTTCCAGTGTGGCTGATCACGTCCAGTTCCAGTGTGGCTGATCACGTCCAGTTCCAGTGTGGCTGATCACGTCCAGTTCCAGTGTGGCTGATCACGTCCAGTTCCAGTGTGGCTGATCACGTCCAGTTCCAGTGTGGCTGATCACGTCCAGTTCCAGTGTGGCTGAGTTCCACTGTCACCAGTTCCAGTGTGGCTGATCACGTCCAGTTCCAGTGTGGCTGATCACGTCCAGTTCCAGTGTTTCCAGTGTGGCTGATCACGTCCAGTTCCAGTGTTTCCAGTGTGGCTGATCACGTCCAATTCCAGTGTTTCCAGTGTGGCTGATCACGTCCAGTTTCAGTGTTTCCAGTGTTGCAGATCACACCTAGTTCGTGTTTCCAGTGTGGCCGATCACAGCCTGTTCTATTGTTTCCAGTTTGATGGTCACAGGCAGAGCTCGGGTTGCTGGCCATGCTCAGTGCCAGTATTTCAAGTGCCTCCAGTTTTGGACTAAAGATTGCTTTATTTTGGAAACTTTTTTTTGCTCTGTGATATTCTTCTATAGTTGTATTTATTATACCACAGAGAGACAGTGTTTAATGTACAAGGTGTCTGATACAATGTTGTTTGATTTTTGTGATACACAAGATGCCAGGTACATAAATTGGTCCAAACACTGAGAAAGTCTCACACCTATCTACATCCTATCTCCATATTCATAAGGAATAACAGACTGTGTTTAAAGTGTAATATAAAAAAATATTTTTTTTCTTTATTAATTTTTTAAAAACGTGGGGCAAAAACGAAATCCTACATCATACTGTAGTCTGAGAAATCTCTTGAACAGACTACAAGTTTTGACTGTGATAACCCATGTTTCATTCTAACAGAATTTACAAAGTATAATTAAAGTGGAGTTCCATCTGAAAAAAAAAAAATAAATAAAAGTCAGCAGCTACAAAAACTGTATCTGCTGACTCTTAAAATACAGATACTTACCTGTCCCTCGGTCCTGCAGTGTCTTAACCACCGTTGGTTATACCAGCCGTCTTCTCTCCCTGGCGTAGGCATCTTCAGTGTGGGCACCCGCCTGGGACAGCTTGCGGATTCCAATCGCCTAGGCGATCGCAGCGGAAGTGGGAGCGGATACCTGTCAAATTCGGGTACCCCCTCCCCCCCCTGCTCCCCAAAGGTGCCAATACTTAATGGTGAGCGGGGGACAAAGGCTTTCAAGCGGAACTTCCCCTTTTGGTTGGAGCTCCACTTTAATACTGCAGTGATGTCCACAGTTTGTTTTTAATGCCATAGTCAAATCGGAACCATCAGGGATCATACATTAAAATGTATACCATAATTTGTAGATTCTATAACTTTCACACAGCCTAGATAACGTACCTTGTTTTTTACCAAAGAAATGCAGCAGAGTACATTTTAGCCTTCATTTATGAAGAAAGATTTTTTTCTTAAATAAATTTTATAACAAAGTAAGCAGACATTTTTTTTACATTTGTTATAAAATTATTTTTATTTATATATTAAAAGAAAAATATCAAATGAAAGCGCTTTCTTAAAAAAGGATATAAAAATCATTTGGGTACAGTGTTGCATGACCGAATAAGAGTCAGCCAAACTATCATAGCACTGAAAACTGAAAAAGGAGCTGGAAAGAAAGCGGATATAACATGCTGGTATACAAGTTTTTTATTGGGGTGTGGGTGTGTGTGTATGTAAGTGGCTGGGGGTTAAAGAGTCTCTGACCACAAAAATCGCTAATCAAACAAGGGGCAATGGCAATCATACATAATCCTTATCAAATGTTTGTTTTATATTCATAGCAACCACTGGACTTTCAGTTAAAATGTCTTAATATTGCACAAGAGCTGTAGAAGTATTTACCTTGGCCACTAGTTTCAGAAGGCATCTGTGGTAGTAGTACACATGTTAAAACCTTTTCCCCAGTCTCAAGATCAACATCTGTCTGGAAAGTCAGCAGAGGCTGGGACTGGTTATCTGATAACCATAATGCCTTCAATTTCAGTGAAGTCAATGATAAAGGTAAATGGGATAACCTATAAAAAACAAAAAATAATATTTTATAAATTAAAACTGCTCATCAGTATATTTATTCTTTTACCAGCTACTTTGCCACCACTAATAAACTAGATTGCAACCACATGAGTTAAAAGTTAAACTAAAATTAAAATAATGCTTGCACAAAATCAAAGTAAAAACAATTATGCTTCTAAATTCTTTCTATAAACAACGGACAATGTGGATCTCTATAAATCAAAAGAGAAGACAAAAATTTAGGATGTTGAAAGAACTGCAATAGGTATGATTAACTTGAATGATTCACCTTAAATTATCTAGGATTTGCAGAATTACCCATAAAACCACTCTAACAAAACTAGGAAGCATATTGTTACCTGTTTCCAGCAACATCCAAGACATGGAGTTCAGTAGCTTGTGCAATTTCTGCAGGAATACGTGTCAGTCGGTTTTCACGCATACAAAATACATTAAGACTGCTACAACCACCAATCTGTAACAATTACAACAAAAAAAACATTAAAAACAGGTACACCACCTTATTAAAGTACACATTAGAGTGCACAAATCATAATAAAAAAAATGAGTTGACCTAAACCAGTTGAAAATTAAAGGCTAACTTCACCTTTTCTTTAAACAAAAAAATAAAATAAATGCACCTCACGGCAGGTAGTGTCAATGGACTACGATTGTGCTGATCAGCTCTCTCATAGTCCATTGGAACTACAAGCTGTCTAAACTTGTAGTTAATTCAGGCCATGGTGAATTAATGTAAGTGACCAACAAAATAGATTGTAAGAAAACTGCAGGCATATCTGTGAGCAGTAACCAAATATTTTAATGCTTGCAAATGCAGTTAATGCGTCAGGGCATAACCAGTGCACTGCTGTTCTCTTTCTAGCTCTATTTGAATCCTTGTAATTATGGGGCCATGTGGATGATCCTACTCTATAAATTGGCAGAGTTCCTGCACCACACTCCAGCTACAGCCTTAAAGGTAAAGTTTTTGTATTTTCTGTGAGCACATATTTATTCCACTCACTATTATAATGTATATAATACCTGTGAAAGAACTTGTGACTGAAGGATCAGAGGATTATTGTAGAGACCTTAGTGTCTTCACCATATTCATTTTATCATATACCAAAATGGTAATGGGGGGACAACAAGAGGGGGTAGTGCAATAAGGGCTGCTGTTAGAAACCATGGGTGCCCCACACAGCCAACCTGACAAGGCCCCCTCCCAAAAAAAACAAACAACTCTACTCTGCTTCAGTTATGAACACAGCGAGTGATCGATAACAATCAAACATTGTGTTCATTTAGGAAAGGAAGAGGCTGGTAAATGTCAAATATTTACTGGACCCTTCCCTAACTCTCCATCCTAAAGGATCCTATTGTGTGCTTGTAGCTGCTGGTGGGGAGGAAAGGAGGGAATCCGGCAGCACTGTAGGGAGTGGGGGCATAGAGGAAGGCATGAGCAGCAGGGAGAACTGTACGGTGCAAAGGGAGGGCGATAGATGCGGCGGTGGGGCAATTACTGGAACTGATCCCCTGTATGGCTCTCTCTGCAGCAGCTGAAAGCCTCCAGGAGGGAGAGGAGAAAAAGTCAGCTTTCACATCTGATTCACTCTGCTGCATGGACCCCCCTACTAGCCTGGGCCCCATACAGGACTGGTGGTACCCCCTTATCCATGGCCCTGGTGCAATGTATGGTACCACATTAAGAAGCATTATTTCCTTGTGACTGTAATAAGGCCTACAGTTTAATGTGAAAAGGAAAAGTTAATGAATACAGCAAATTCAGTTCCAACATGCTTTGTTGCTAACTCCTCTTAACTCCCCTATCTTTTTAATTATTCATATTTAATTTACTGGCCTCAAAATCAGATTATGCATTTACTCCTTTATACATGCCAAATTACCAGGCCTTTTACAATTTTGCATACATTATTTTTTTATTCAAAATTACTGCATTATTCTACGTACCTCTTTTGGCAAAGACATTAATTTATTCCTATCAACATTCAAGTTGTTCAGCTTCTTCAATTTCCCAATACTTCTTGGCAGAATCTGAGGTGTGAAAACAGAACAGTTTACATAAATAATGTGTTCTGATCTGCAGAAAGATGCTAAACTGAACAAGAGACAGATTAGGATATACAAGTGCATTTGTTCCAATTTCATGTTATTTTGCATTCGATACAAAAAAAAAACAAAAAAAAAAAAACAAAAGGAATAATAAAACAAAGCAAGGTTGAACTTCAGGAACCATTTCCACAAATGCTCTAAATCTTTTCATGAACGTGGATTACAGCATCTTACACATTTACAAAAGATAAAATACACAGAAAATTGGATGAAACGCTTTAGAGAAATAGTAATAATAAATTCACAAGGTTATGTACTTGAAGACTGGAATTTCTATTGTATGTAAATTTTTATGGGACAAATGAGGCTTTCATTTGGCAGCAGCAGAGGAGAAAACCTAATATAGTCATTATCTTTGGCTGCAGCATTCTATGATATAAGCAAATGTCTGCAAAAACCACAGAGCTGAAGAAATGAATAAATGCTATTTGTAACATGGGGAGCCAGGAAACACCCGCTGGTCGCTTGTAAAAGTAAACAGTCTTCAGTGTACTTTCAAAGACAAGCAAACAAAAAAGTTTTCTTCAGCAAAACCATCCATAATTTTGGTTTAATGAAAATAACACGATGGCTTTCTGCCAATATACCAGTTCTGCACCAGGGTTTAGGGGTCCCATCTGCTTCAGTGTACAGCAAAGGCTGCAGGACCTCAGCAAACAATATCTCAATTGCCACACTCTCATAGCTGTGAACTACTCCACTGCACCACACCGATAAGTGCTGACTCCTTACTGCTAATTTTCAGGCCTCCCCGGCAGGCAGCTTAACCTTTTGGGACCAAAGTTCCTGTGATTGGGGCTTGGAGGTTCTTTCCCATCCAAAGTCCCTCCGAGCATTCGAACTTCAGGTCTCAAATGAGGACTTACCAATGCAGAGAGAACTTTAAATCAATCAGCTTTCTCCTCTCCAAGCAGACTCTCCCAGAACCCCTCAGCTCCTACACCTTCACCTGGCTCTCCCCTCACTGCTCTCAGCTCTGGGCTGACAAGAGTAGTGATGCTGCTGCCACTACACCTGTCAGCCTTGTAACAGCTCATTACAGGGTGTCCCAATCCCTGCAATAAACCACTGCGCCCAGTTTGCGGGGGGGGGGGTTATGGTGTGGGGTTGTTTTTCAGGGGTTGGACTTGGCCCTTTAGTTCCAGCAAAGGAAACTCTTAAGGCGTTCGTATACCAAGACATTTTGGAAAATTTCATGCTCCCAACTTTGTGGGAAAGGTTTGAGGAGGCCCCTTCCTGTTCCAAGATGATTGCGCACCAGTGCACAAAGAAAGGTCCATAAAGACACGGATGAGCAAGTTTATTGTGGAGAAACTTGACTGTCCTGACCTCAACCTGATAGAACACCTTTGGAACGAATTAGAGCAGAGACTGTAAACCAGGCCTTCTCGTTTGACATCAGTGCCTGAGCTCACAAATACACTTCTGGACGAATGGTCAAACATTCCCATAACCTTGTGGACGGCCTTCCCAGAAGAGTTGAAGCTGTTATAGCTGCAAAGGGTGGGCCAACTCAATATTGAACCCTACGGACTAAGACTGGGATGTCATTAAAGTTCATGTGTGTAAAGGCAGGTGTGCCAATACTTTTGGCAATATAGGGTAGATAGATTTTTTTTCTTTGTAGGTAAGAGATGGTACAAACTAGCATTCTTTTGATGGTATTGTCTTACAATAATTATATTGTTTCTCATGTATTTTGCAAAACGACAGTAAAAAAAAAAAAAAAAAAAAACAAACACACACTTTGGGGTTGGTGTACAAAGTACAATTTGTATTCTGTTTATTACAATATTAAAATTATATTTAAAGTTTACCTCCAGGAATTCAGCCACTTTGTAAATATGTGTTGGCACACTCTGAGTTAGGTCCAAAGAAGTGTATTGCACCCCGTGGACATATTTCTTTAATTTACATCTGACAGTTTTACAGAGCCGACACACAGCATCTCTGTCTGCCCCTTTCATCTGCTCTTCATTTATAGAAGCCTGTGTATTCTGGTAATGAATTCACACAGTCTGAAGTAAAGAAAATCATGTGATTCCCCCAGCAACACATTCCTGCTTCAAAAATAATCCATACACATCCACTACTTAACGGCCCTGTGATCGATTGTTTCTTATTGTGTTTTTCTGCCTTCTTGTAACATACATGTGAGCTCCCAAACCTGTCCCTTTCCCTCTCACTTCTGTGTTTTGTTTGGAACAAGCAGTGCACGTTAGTTGCAGTTATGTGCATTGCTCCATGCATATTACAAATCACATAGTCCATAAATCACTAGTTCACCTTGAGAGTGAGCATAAAGCGAGAATAAATGTAGCTACCCGCTAAAAGGAAGTCAGATTGAGAAGCAGCTGAGAGCAAAAGAAGATACTTTTTTGGCGTTAAACACACAGTTGAGTATACATTTTTTTAACCACTTCTGCCTCTGCGACATACTCGTATGTATGTCTGTAGCTATAAGCATCATCCCAGTATCTTTTTTTTTTTTTTTTTTTTTTTTTTTTTTTAGCCAACGATGGGCTTTAATATAAAGCCGATTTTAGCAGCTAATCAGCCGCTGGATTGCTTTTAGATGGTAGAAGGGGTCTAGAAGACCCCAGATCTCTCTATACAGACGACCTGTCCCTGCTCCAGCTATCATCCCTTGTAAAAGGCCAAAAAAGTGATAGAAAAAAAATTAAAGAGATTAGGTAAAAATAAAAAATTAAATAAAATTAAAAAAAAAAGATAACGCACCCTCACCCCCCACCCCTGTTCACACGCAAAGGTGATAACCACATAACAGTATTCACACCACACGTGCGGTATCGCTGCTCGCATTATAGCAAGAGCAAGAATTCTAGCACCAGACCTCCTGTGTACCTCTAAACTTGTAACCAGTAAAGGCTTTTAAATAGTCGCCTATGAATAATTTAATGTACCATAGTTTTAAATTTTAAAGCATGACATGTTAGGTATTTATTTACTCAGTATAACATCATCTGTTCTATTTTCCCAAACAATTGGGTATTTTATTGTGTTTTTGAACATTACAATTAAAGTGGATTTTTTTGTTTAAAATTGTGTTTGAAAAACCGTGGAGCAAATATCTTGTGATATAAAAAATTGCAACACCCACCATTTTATTCTCTAGGGCCTCTGCTAAAAAAAAAAAAAATATATATATATATAATGTTCGGGGTATTTTTGGGGGTTCTAAGTAATTTTCTAGCAAAAAAAAAAAAAAATGCCAGCGTTTAGCGTCACTTTATTCAGTTTAGGAGCGAACTTTACATTTTTTGTTAGGTAAATATGAAAAAATTCCATATGAGCATTTCAAATGTACAATTACAGGCAGCAGGTAAAATTTTGGGATTTTTGTTTACATGTTTAGATTAAAAACATTTACAGAGATTAAAAGTGGAATTAAAGCCTAACACTAATTATTCTTAAAAACGTTCCTTCCCCATCCTTCTACCCATCCTGCTTAGCCTGTGCAAAAAAAAAAAAGTTTGCACTGATCATTTTTATACAGGGTAAGCAGGAAAAGTGGAAGAGGGAAGGAGCAATTTTAAGAATAGTTAGTGTTTGGCTTTAGGCCTCATTCACATATCACGTAGCAGGAATAATTATAAAAGCATGATTTGCACACATTTTCACTTGTCACATACTTAAATGGGCTGTTCTATGCGCATTTGCTGCGCAGAAGAAACTAAGGAACCATATGCTGGCCCTGAGCCAGGCATATTGTGTCATGCAACAAAATTGCACTGAGTTTAGGGTGTCATTCAGAATGAATCACTCCTAAAAACACACATCGAGCATTTTGCTGTGACTCAGAAATGCGCACATTTTGCCTGTGATTCCTAATAATTCCTAATAATTGTGAACGGGGCCTTAATTCCACTTTGGGGACTCCCATTTATACATAGAACTAAATGATTCAGAGGAGTGACACATTCCTTTCTCCTCTACAGTTTCAATTAGTAAAAGACTATTCTATCTTTAGAATAATAGAGATAATGCTTTGCAAATCCTGTGTCATATGTGCACTCTACTAAATATTTATCTGTAAAATAAAGATTTTATACACACAGCAACAGTACAGAAAAAACATAAGAATGTAACTGAAATGATATTGACCCAAACCCTTTCAGAAATAACAAACACAGCAAAACCATTACGTGAACATAAAACCAAAAAAAGAAAATATGCATCTAGATCAGTAACGTGAGCAGCTTCAAATCTCAAATACTGAAGATTCACAGTGACCTATTACTAAATGCCCTTACAAAACATTTGCCAGGTTGAACACTGTTGAAAGAACAAATACCTGTCACCACAAATTATTCTCACATTTCAAGCAAGGGCAGCTGTAACAGTTTACAAATTAAAGCAGTGCCGTGGAACAAATGCATTTGACAGTGTACTTTTTTATTTGCATGCTAATGGTAATATTTGATGCTATGCAAAGGCAGGCAAGCAAGGATCAAAACAGCCTCTCTTTCTTCAACCAGACAGGACAACCAGTCAGGTTATATTGAAACAGGCTCTATGAATTAAAAAAAAAAAAGCCCTGAACTTTAAATACAAGTACATTTCCTTTGTTTAAATAAATTATATTTACATGTTATTTCAACAAGCTCAATACCAAGGATTTATTTTGAACCCTTTTGCTTCCAGAGCGATTTTTTTTTTTCACCACGTTAAAATACACATTTTAGGCCATTATTTGCATAATGGTTTATTGCATTCATATTTTCAGTAAAAAAAAAAAAAAAGCCTTAAAATTACATGCACACGCGAAGCAGCGACAAACTTTGGAACACAAAAGTATCCATAGGCGACATTTTAAGAGGCTACTGGTTTAAAGTTTACAATGAACAAATGGCCCTAGAATTATTATTTTCACTCCGGCATGTGTGGCGATATATAACAAG